GGTACCTCTGCCGGACGATTGGAGGCCCTGAGGAAATGGGCAGCTGGCCTGTGGGGCCCCTGATGGCATGAGGCAAAGGGCAGGGACAGCTCAGGCCTACCATGGCTCCATGGCCAGGCACTGCTGACGCAAGTCTAGTCTCCACCAGTTTTAGTTGTCCAGAGGTGAGGGAAAGGCCAAGGCCTAAGGTGGGCAGGAAGAGCATAGTCTTCAAGTTGGGGCCAGGAGAAAGGGGCCTCCCTCTGAGGCCAGGGGAGGTCACCCAGGAGCCTGGCTTGCCTCAGGCACCTCTGCCCCAGGGCCCTGTCTAGACAAGCTTGTGCACCTTCTAAATTGGAAACCTGTGCAATGATGATGCTTCCAGAAGGGGAGGGCTCTGCTTTAGCCTTGCCTGGTCCATATCCCCAGACCTTGGAGAGAGGCAGGTTATGTGTCAACGGCCTGATTCTGAGTGGCTGGGTTGTAGTTATTCCCTATGATGAGACTGGCAATCAACTCCACGGTGCAATCTGCCATGAGCAGTTGAGTAGCTGCTTTAGGCATGTGGGCTGCTTCCGGTATACAAGGAGCAGCTCTGGGAACGGTCTGCAGCGTTCAGCATGTTTGAATCCTGCACGCAGTTGACTCATCTTTCAGAAGCCTGCCGTAATCTCTGCTGATCTTGGGACTGTTGGTGGACTTGAATTAGTGGCCTGCCATGTGGTTTGGTCATTTTGGGACAGTGCCATTTCACTTACCAGCCTCAGCAGCCAGCAGCTGCCTGAGGGAAGAGAGATCTCTAGCTCCAGTGGGCCAGGAGCAAGAGGCAGAGCTGAAGCCTGAGGTCAAGGGGCTTTCACCCAGCCACTAGGGCCTGGCACTTTGAACTCAAACTTCTAACCTCTCAAAACTGGAAGAGGATAAACTCCTCTTGTTAAAGCCACCCACTTGTGGTATTTTCTGTTAGAGTGACACTAAGGGAAACCAAAACAGTTGGGGAGAGGGCTCTGCACCCCACGTCCACGACCCTGCCTGCTGGCTCCCTTTGAGCCTGTGGTTCTGCCAACTGCGTTTGCCAGCGACTCAGCCCACGCTCTCACCACGTGCACGCTGACCAAGGAGGGCACTTCGCTTGTTGACAAGGAATGAGGAGTAAGCCGGCAGGGCAGGGGGTCCCAGGCTGGCCATGGGAGGACGAGGCGGCTTCCTCAATGTGCTACTGCAAGAAGGCGGAAGCCCCAGGGCAGGGTGGGGGTGGGGGGGTCCTTTGGTGGGTTTGGCAGGGGCCTACAGCCAGAGCATCATGGCCGTCTGCTGTAAGCTGTCGGCATGTTCCAGCTCTTGTTACCAGTCCCAGGGCCCCTGCTGGGCCACTGAGCCCCCCTGACCCTTTGTTCAGCCCTGCTCTGTGAACCTGCCTTCCAGGCAACGGGAGACAGTAAAGGACCTAGAGAGGTCTGCCCAACAGGCCCACAGAGGGCTGGGCAACGGAGGGTGAGTGAATGGTGGCTGGCGGGAGAGCACCCCTGCCCGCCTCAAAGCCAGGAGCAAGGCCCACGGAGTGGCCGGGCCCCACTGCAGCTCCAGCTGCTCCTCTCCCCCGACTGCCGCGTCATTGCGCAACCCAGAGCCACAGCAGAGCGTGCAGGCCGTTGCCGGGGGTAACTGCAGGCTACACAGAACAATCCAAGGCATTAACATCATGTTTTCATTGCACCATAAAAACATGCAAAGGCGGCGGGGAGGTGGCGAGCCCCTGGCCCGAGGCGCTCCAGCCCCACCTGCCACCCCACCCTGCACTCCCCTTCCGGGCTGTCGGCAACACCCACCCGCCTCTTGGCCGCGCACCGAGCTGCAGCAGTGGGACACACGGGGCAGAAACCCCCGCAGACCTCCCGTGGGTGCTGCTAACCAACTCGCCACACCCACGCGCACAGGGGCCTGCCCGAGGGCCATGGCACAGGAACCCCGTGCGGGCGGCCCAGGGAAGCCGCCTGGCTGCACGCTCCGCCCGGCTGGAACCTCAGCTTCTCCTCTCTGCCCCTCAGCGTCTGGGTTCCAAGACCCCAGTCAGTCACCAAGTGGGAGGTCAGTGCCCACGGGGCTCCCTGGCACAGTCCAGGACACTGGGCACCACAGCAGCCCAGCCCAGAGGGCAGTCACCTTGCTGCAGCCTTTCACCTGCCTGCCATGTACAAGACGGCCATGAGCCCCGTGCAGGCAGCAGGTGTGTGGGAGTGAAATCTCGGTGGCTGCCTGGTGGCAGCAGCGTGGCACACCCTGCACAGTCCTCAGGGCGACCAGTAAAGCCCTGTGGCATCTCTGGGGCTGGGCGTGGAGGGCTATATGGCCATCTGGGGGCCCCGAAGAGCCTGGTGGTGGCCAGGGACGGCTTATTCCCCACTAGGGGACGGTGCAGGCCAGTGGACTGGCAGTGAGGGCTGTCCTCGAGCTACCAGTGTGACCAGAGCAGAGCTGATAAACACTACAGGTATGCAGACACCAGTCCTATTTTTTGGAGAAAAGGGGTATGCAGAGAAAACCGCCTGCAGAGGGCCATGGGGACACTGGGCGGCCCTATGGGCTGACCAATGCAGGGGCGGTACTGCCCAGAGAGATAGGCAGAGAGCCCAAAGCCCTTACGAGAAAACGTTGCCCCATTTGTACAAAGTTTTCTCATAACATGCTGTATTGTTTTTATAATCACAAAAAAGAGCCATTTTCAAGCTCCTCGCTGCGGCCCAGAGAGGGGCTACTCCCAAGGCCAGAGGGGCAGCATGGCACCTCCCACAGCCCCAGGTTGCTGGGTTGCCCTGTGCCTCCGAGGCAGGGGCAGCCTCCTCCCACAAGGCGTGCCCTGCCCCAGGACCTGCGGGAAGCGGGAGTGTCGGCAGCCATGCGTTAAATGGGACACGGCTGATCTCGCTGCACTTGTCGAGGGCAGCGGGCCCAGCGCACTTGGCATCTTAATTGGGCGTCTGAGAGCTCTGCACCCACTTCACACCAGCCGTCACCAGGCTTCGTTCAGCCCATTAAGGTGGAAAGACATTCCTTTGTTCACTGACAAGCAGGGTCCCATCCGAGGCTCCCGGTCGGCAGACTAAGTGATGTTTTCTTAAGGAAGACACGCGATTAGCTGCCGCAAAGCCCCAGCACAATGCGGCCCTGCCTGCCCTGTCAGCGCCGTCTCCTCGGTGACTGACGGGTGCGCTCCCTGACGACGTCAGGCCTCAGTGTGGGGATTAGCTGGAGCACAGCCCGACTGGAGGCTGCAGTGGGAGTGTAACAGGAAGACCAGAGACCGAGACTCCAGGACAGAGGCTTCAAGTGCCTGTGGTCGCGCTGGTCTGCCGTCAAGCCTGCGGCTGGCCACTCTCGGCGACCTAGGAGGCACGGAGAGCGCCCAGGGTGGCCTGGGCGGACGGTCTGGGAGTCAGCCCCTGCAGGGGGGAAGCTGGCTGCTACAGCGGCAGGGGGAGGCCAGCTTCCTGCATGCGGACACAGGTCACACGCCGCTGGGAACAAGACACACGGTGTGCGCAGTGCCCTGGACGAGCCCCGCTGACCTGGTGCCGCCCGCCCCACCCACCCTGCCAGGAATGCCACAGGCAGAGCCCACGTCAGGAAAACCCCTTCTTTATTTGCTCTCCAGTAGCGCCAGGGGGCTCAGACATAGGCAGCCCACAGGGTGGGTTTCCGCTCAGGTCGTCATCATCCGGCACCGGGGGTTGCTGGGCTGGCCGAGGCAGGAGGGGGCGACGGGGCCGGCGGGGGGCTGACTGCCCCACCTGAGCCCTCTCTGCAGGGCACCAAGGGTGTGTGGGCACGGCCGCAGCACGCTGGCTCTCACCGGCTCTCCAGGGGGCATGGCTCGTCCAGGCTTGGCCTCCACGGGCAAACACCGCCACGGCAGGCCAAGCCAGGGCAAGTCCTGCAGCCAACCTGCAGGTGCACGTTTGGGTCAGAGCAGGGCAGACACACGCACCTACCGCCTTGCCCCAGGCCCCGAGGTGGGCGCCCCGCCCTTCCTCCCCGGCCTCCACCCCACGGCAGGTAGGTGTGTCACCAGGAGCAAGGCACTGTTATAAAAATATTTTGAAATGATAAAAATTTATAGCAAGCTCTTTTTTCCCAGGGCTCTTAACAAAACAGCTCTGCGAGGCTGGCTTTGCTGATAAGAGCTTCCTCAGGACGTCCTTTCTTTCTCTGTGTCAAAGGCAGCCTCCCTCAGAGGGCTGTGGTGAGACTCGGCCCCTAGGACATGCCCCAAGAGCGGCCCCAGGACCCCTCAGCTCAGCCAGGGGTCCAGAGGCCCTAACCCTGGGAGGGGTCGACAGCCGAGGGCGCACACGTGTGACGGCTGGCCCTGAGGAGGGCCCCATGCAAACTTGGGAGACGAGATGTCCCTGAGCACACGCATCCCTTCACAGAAGTGAGGGAGGGGCTTGTCATTTCTTCCTCATCAGAAGAGGTTTGGAGAAGAACAATCCCCTTGAGGCTTCGGGCTTCCACTCAGTCAGTCTGGCTTTTGAAAAGCTAACAGGACCAGATGTGTGGACGAGCGGCGTGTGTGGGGCAGCGTCTCCACCTTCTGGGCATGAGGGAAACGGGAGCCGTGCTCCACCCCGCACCTGGCCAGGGCCAGCGATGAGGCTGGGCCCGGGCCCACCGTAGCCATGGTACCCAGTGACTCTGAGACCACCCTGAGTACACCTGACTATGGGTGCACTGTGGAGGGTGGGGCCTAAGAGGTGGAAGGACAAGGCCCAGCCTTGCTTCTGAGCTTCATGTGCTGGACACAGGGGGCAGAGTTCGCCCCCTGTTCAAGGTGGCGCACGGGTCCAGCCCTTCCTGGTGAGAGCAGCTCCCACTGGCTCCTCCCACCCTCACCCCACACGCTCCACTTCGAATACGGAGCCTTCCACAGTGCGTACCTGGATCCGCAACTCTGAGAGGCCTGGTGGCAGTGGTGCTGGCGTGGGTGGCACGTGCCCGGCCCTGGCAGAGATGGTGGCTTACCCTCAGCAGCCCGTCACCGTGGGGTCCAGGCCCGAGCGCTTGGAGACACGCAGCTTGGCCACCTCCTCAGCACAGGTGGGGTGGATGCCCACCGTCCGCATCATTTGTGCGTAGGAAGCCCCGCACCTGTCCACGGTGACAAAGGTTAGGCATCAACCTCAGGGAGGCGAGCTCACATCCTGCCATCTTCCAGAAGCTGGTGCCCGTGGGTGACTGTGGTCGTCACCGGGTCTCTTCACTGTCCCCTCCCTCTACTCCCTCTTTGTCCAGCATCCAGGAGCACCTGCCACATCGGTCAAAGGTGTGCTCTTTCCTTTTGAGTAAACATCCAGTCCCTGCCATAGCCAGGTGGGTCCTGTCACTTGGGACCCCACCACCCTCCACCCCAGCCGCTTACCTCCTGCTGCTCGGAGCCTGACAGGTACCACACACCAGGCTCAGCCCACCTCCCGGCCTCAGGGCCAGCTGCTCATTCTTCCCGGCTTCCTCCCAGAACTGCCTGGAATCGCTCAAGCCCATTTCCCACTGCAGCCTGCGCCTTGATCTGGCTCCCACCTGGCCCCGTTCAACAGAACCCAGCACTTTGCACATGAGGTATAATGACTGTGCCCAAGTGCCCACTAGAAGGGCAGGGATTATTGGCCGTTTGGGCCTGTGTCCGAGCACTGGCATCTCACCCAGCACAGACCTGATCCATCCCTGCTGCCCACTCAACAAGAGCACTGGGCAGGCTATGCAAAAGAGGCCCAGTGACCCAGGCTCCCCATCCCGGCCTCCCTGGCGTCCTATAAACTGGCCCCCATCCATACTCCCAGCCTGCCTGTCAAAGGTCTCTGGGTTAGAGGCTGCTGTGGGTATTCCAGACGTCTGCATGTGCCTGTGCATACCCACAGTGCCCACCCACACGCTCTTCACTTCCTCAAGGACAACAGTATGTGGACACCCCGGCCAGGCGCACTCAGCCCACAGTGAGGCACGGGCGGCGACGGGCTCCACTTCTTGCCATTACAGACAAGGTTGCAGCAAACAGCTATTCATGCATCTTTGCAGATGTGTGTTGGAAGATCTGGTGGATGAATTCCTAATGTGAACAAAGGTGTGTGCATTTCCAATGTGGGCCAAATGGGGATGGTTCCAATTCACCACCCTCCTCCTGCCTGTCATCCAGACTTCAGGGTCTCCCCCATGTAGACACTGGGAAGTTACCACCACTGGACACTGTCAAACCTTTTAATTCTCATGAACTAAAATGATTTGTTAGTGTTTCAATTACATTTTAAAATTGTGAATGAGGTACAGTAGGTTTCTACTATTTGTGTTTTCTTTTCCTATGAATTGCCTATTTGTGTCCTTAGTTTTTCAATTGGGTTGTTCAGCTTATTATTATTATTGATTTCTAAGAGCTCTTTGCATATTAAGTAAGCCAGTCCTTGACTGTTTTTTTAAGGGCCTTTCCAGAGACTTTCCCTGGAAGCTGTGCGTCGGTGTTAGCAACACCATCTACATGTCAGGATATGGATGGAGACTGACTGGGGGAGGGCCAGGGACCATGCATCAGGTCCCAGGAGTCATTCCCAGCCACTATCCTCCTGCCTAGAGCAGACCCCCAAGCCCCACACTCAGGCTCTAGGCAAAACTCTCGGCAGAGCCCATGCTGGACTCATGAGCGTCCTCCCGGTGGCCACACTGGACCAGACATCTAAACAGCGGCTCTGGCTTGGACACTACTCCGCAGTGACAAAGTGCGCTGCTATTAGGAACTGCTCCAAGGATGTGGGCCCAGCTGCGGTCCCACTCTGGATCCAGCCCTCCCTGCTCTCCTGGACGGGGGAGAAGCTGACTCTACGACCCCTGAATCTACCCTGTGTACTAAGGGCAAGGAAGCCAGTGGTGGGGTTGGATACTTGCTACCTTGTGTCATGGTGGCACCGAGGCCACCTGGTGAGAAATACGAGGGCAAGAAGCCCAGTCAAGGGGCCAGGCTGCCCACGGGCAGAGTCAGGTACCCTTGGAGCATCTGGCCTACACCCTCTGCCCAGACAGCCCCTCCGAACGCCTCTCAGGGTGGCGGCACCTGCTCCTGGTGCCTCTAGCCCACCTCCATGCCCTTCCTCGTTGGCAGAACTCCTGCCTCCACCTTCCTGACAGTGGCTTTCTCCTTCTGCCTCCACCTTCCTGAGAGTGGCTCTTGGCCACACCCCGTGCCCAGGAGCACTGGAGCCCAGGTCGTCCACATACCTTCCACAACATGGCAGCCTCCCCCTGCACCCGTACCTCTGCTCAGCCCACACGCAGGCTCGATGCTACTGGCCTAGTGGAACCCCAGCGATGCCTCAGCCCCTCTTGCCTTCTGATGGCCCTAGTCACCTGCCCAACCTCCCCACCATTCCATCAGATCCTCTCCACCCCGGAGCCATCCTGCCACAAAGGCCCAAGGCCGACCCCAGGGCCCTGTAAATGCACAGCTTGACCCCGCGCCCCAGGCAAAGCCACACAGCCACTGCATGGGCGTCTCCAGACACACTGGCACCCTGCAGCCTTCCTGAGCCGCATCTGGGTCGTGCTCACAACGCCCTGCAGTCTCATTCAGTGGCGAAGGTCTTGCACCCTGGTCGCCTAGCCTGTGCAGAAGAGGCTCAAACAGTGACCCTGGCATGGCTTTTCCCAGGCTGGCAGGAGGGCAAGCCCTCTCTCCTCAGCCCTGGGCAGCCAGCCACAGATGGACACCCATGTGGCCACGGCTCAATAGCATTTGGCTGGAGAAGAAAGCTGTCTCTCATCTAACTGAACCTGCCACGTCTGAGCAAAGGCCCAGAGAATCTCTGCTGAAAACATGTACAATGCTACATAAAAGCAACATAAAACACAGAGGATTTTCCATTGTAGTGCTGCCAACATTTAGCGAAGACACTTAGTACATAATGTAACGGCGGACATTCCTCAGAACTTACTTGATCCCCAGAGCAAATCCCTGAGTGACTTCGCCCGCATTGGGACCGAGGAAGTGCAGGCCAAGGACCAGTTGTGGGGGCTCCCGCAGACACACCATCTGAAAGCCAAACCATCAGCCCCAGCCTCCGCCAGGGTCGGGGAGGACCCTGGGGTACGTGCCTCCTGCCCTGCTTGGATGTAGAGGGCCCAGCCAGGCTGGGCTGAACCGCGGGGACGACTCAAGCCCACATTAGGAGCAGCCACACTGCTCAGCTCCCCAGGAGTAAGTCTCAGGGCCTATGCGGGGCTCCCCACCCCTGCCTCCCTCTTACTTCCTGGGCACACCCCTACCCCTGCCACCACAGGGATACCCACCTTTATGTAACACTGGGATGCATCCCGCTCGGCCACCGTGAACTCTAGTGGTTTGTAATACGCATGATAAACCTGGGTGACGAGACACGAGGGCCTGTGGGCACTTGATGACTCCAGACGTCCCCTTCCCAGCACATGAGCGGGACGGGTGGGAAGGGGGTCTGGGCCCGAAGGCAGCGGTCGGGGTGAGCATGGCTCGGTTGGCTGCAGAGTGAGAGGATCCTCCTCTCCCACATGTGCGCAGCCTGTGGCCGAGCCATTTGTCTGCAGGATTAGGCTTCTCCTGGCCAGGTCTCTGAGGGGTGGACATCCAGGCCTGGAGCCCTGTGTACTTCACTAGTAGGGCTGGCCAAGTGCCATCTGCCCACCATCTGTCCAAGACAGACACCAAGCCCTGCTCGGGCCACACTCAGCACTGCCCAAACTCAGTGCAGCCACCGAAAGTGCCAGCCCGAAGCTCACACTGTGCACACAGGCACTCTGACACCCACAGGGTAACCACAGGCACTGGGTCTGGGGTCAACAGGACGCAGGGAGTGGTGCCCCCGCCCCACCCGGGCCGCGGTAGAGGGCAGGAATGGCCTGGCGGGCTGCCACGAAGCCTCGCTCAGGCAGCCCGGCGCTGCCTCAGCCCTCACTTGAGAAGGAGGCGAGAGCAGGCGCGGGCGGCTGCCCACCCTGGAGCCGTTGGACAAAGGCTGTCAGCACCCACCGAATGCTCAACAGCATGTTTGGGGCTGCGACAGGGTAAAAAATGAGCAGGGCCCTCACATGTGCTGCACAGCCATTATTAATTAATTGGGCTGCAGAGAATATTGTTCTAACTAAAACAGAATTGAAAAGAAAACAAACAAAGGGTATTTGGCCATTCAACATTGTGAAACATAAAACAACATTATAAAATGCCATGAACATATGTCCCAATGTACTTGTGATGAATCAAACAAAAATAGCAAATAGAGTGCCGTGAGGGAGGCCAGCCTGTCAGCCGTGTCCCGTTGATGGAGGAGACTGGGGCACTTGGGGAAAGGGCAGACCCTGAAGCCCCGTGACTCACTCCCAAGTGGCACCAGCACCCCCACCCACCCCCACACACACTGGCCGCGTGTGCCAGCAAGCTGCTGTTGCCACAAGAGAGAACCAAGGAAGGCCGCCAGCACGAACAGTGTGGCGAACGTGGAGAGCCTACCAGTATCCCACCAGGCACTGGGGGACCTCGGCCCACTGGTCAGAGCATACTCATGGAATGGCATGGTTGATGGAATCCCCTTTCTCTGGTGAGTGCCGGGAGGTGGCCCTGGCCCCTTGTGGCTAAGTCAGAGCTGCTGAGCCCCACAAAGACTAGGAGCATCATGGGTGAGGACTGGGGGACCAGGAGCTAGGAGGGATCATACCAGGGGGGAGGGGCTCGAGGGGGGAGCCCGGCTGGGTTTGACCCCAGCAGCTCAGCTGGGGAAGGGCAGGAGGGAGCCGGGGGGCTCCACAGGGATCAGAGGTTGGAGAACAGCCCACAGAAGTGGAATGAAGGAAAGATTGCCCAGACTTAGGGAGATACGGGCCCTTATGAGGGAGGGAGGGCTACTAAGGCTGCGTAGTCACTATCGCCTTTGATAACCAAAATCAGGCCTGCATGTTAGCGCAGGGCAAGCCACTGCTCTGCAGCCCAATGAGGGTAGCTGGTAAGCCCCGTGGCAGGGCACTCCAACGTTGCTGGGCACTCCTGCAGCATGGTGGGGTGGTGCTAGGGCTGGTGGGCAACGGGGCCTCTTTCTTGGTACCTCCTTGAGCGTGGAACAGGGCAGTCGGGGGCGCCTCCACTCTCACAGTAACAGAAGGTGAGGGAGGCTGCTGGGAGCCGTGGGAGCAGAGCTTTAGTGCCACCCTGTAGGCTTCGAGAAGCCGAGGCCCTGTCTCGTTTCACTCCCCACGTGTCCATGTCTGCCATGGCCAGCGGTTGTCCTGGGCTTACGTGCCCTACCCTAACAAGCCATCTAGCCCGGCAAGCCTCAGACTACCCCTCTGAGAAGCGGGCACACTGACATCCCTGCTGCCCAGGCCTCCATCGAGGAGGAGCCTCCAGTGGGGCGGGAGCGTGGCACTGGCGGGCCGGCTTCTTGGGTCCGACTCACCTCAATGTGCTCCTGTCCGTAGCGAGCCACAGCCGCCTCCTCCGACAGCCCCACGCAGCCATATTCCAGTGGGGTGAAGACTGTCGTGGGAACCTGAAAAGCGGGCCCCCAGTGAGCACACCTCTCAGGGTCCCCCATCTGAAGACCCCAATCTACAGCATGGAGTACTTGTTCTTCATGGCCCTGCTGCACTCGCTGTTCCTGGGTAATGCCCATGCAGCTAGCCCCCACACATACATGCGTATACATGGACACCCACCCACCCACATGTTCACACACGTGTACGTGTACATATGCACTGCAGCACATACCAGTACATTCACACACACCTGCACACACACACACACACAAGGTATCCATGTGCACACATATATGCACAGGTATATGTGTATATATGTGTACGTGACCACATACGAGTGCACGGGGCACACATGACTGCCTGTGCACATGCATACAGATATACGCACAACTCCACACACATGCACACATGCATGGATACAGGCACACATGGGCCCTCAGCCTTTCCGAGGCTGGCTCTGGTGCTCGCTGGCAGAAGTGGCTACTCACATTGTCATACTCCATCAGGTCTGAGGACTGGCCGAAGAGGCGTCGGGCTAACAGCTTCCCCGCCATGACTGCCGTGGGTGTGAGCTCAGGCCGCCCCTGCCAGGAGCACGGGAATTACTTCAACAAGGGGAAGGTAGTTTGTGGGGTCCCCTGCCACCACCCAAAAGACTGTCCACCACCCTCCTAGTGAGGGTCTGCCACATGAGCTGTAGGGGGCCCTGTTTGGGGCCTGGAGGTGGAGTTTCCCAGCTGAGACTGCCTGTGGATTTCCAGGGGGGCTCATGTCGTACAGCCCAAGCACCTGTGGAACCCTGATGGGGTTTAAAATCCTTGATTGCCCCCCCCCGTCAGATGCTACATTTCCCCGCCCCCCCCAGTTTCACAGTTTTTAATTTTAAACATAAGAATTCCAAATGATCATATAGAATGACAGAAATAATTCAAGTTCAATGTCTTTGTCTTTGAAAGGAGCCCTGGTGGTACAGTGGTTAAGCGCCTGGCTGCTAAACAAAAGGTTAGTGGTTTGAACCCACCGGCCGCTCCAGGGGAGAAAGATGTGGCAGTCTGTTCTATAAAGAGCACAGCCTTGAAAACCAAGAAAGAAGAGCCAGGAGCACAGTGTGTTCTTTGGACCCAGAGTCCTGCACTGAGAACCTCCTAGAACCAGGGGAAGGTTGCTGCCAGGCCATGTGAAGATCGCCTAGGAGCACAGGCTGAAAGAGACAGGGACCTTCCTCCAGAGCCAACAGATAGAGAGCCTGACTTTAGAAGCAGCACCCTGAATTTGGACGTCTAGCCTCCTCAACCGAGAAAACAGACTTCTGTTTGTTAAAGCCCAGATGCCAGCTTCTTGGAGCTTGACCTTAATGATACCACAATGAGAAGGAACCTGTCTTTTGGGAGTTGGAATCAAGCAAGACCTCAACTTGTAAGCCAAATGAGGAGGAGGCCCACTGAGCAGAAGGCGTCCAGGGCATTTTCTTCTTGCCGCACCCATCCTCCGGCTGCCTGGATGGCTCGGTGACTCCTTTTTCACTCCACCATCTCTCCATCTCCCCAAGATGCCAGAGCTGCCTTTTCCTCTCCTTTGAAGGAGCTCTGGTGGTGTCATGGTTAAGGGACCTGGCTTCTAACCAAAAGGTCGTAGTATGAACCCACCAGCTTCTCCGAGGAAGAAAGATGAGGCGGTCTCCTTCTGTAGAGATTTACAGCCTTGGAAACCCAATGTGGGTTGCTATGAGTTGGAATCAACTCAATGGCAGTGAGTTTGGTTTGGTTTGGAGGGACTTTTTGAGATCACTTCCTGACAGAAGTAGGGAAGCAGGGAACAGAATTTGGCCTGCTGTAGCATCTAAAAGGAGCTCTCATGGCACAGTGGTTGGGTGCTAACTTAAATGCTTGCAGTCTGAACCCACCAGCTGCTTTGCAGGAGAAAGACGAGGCAGTCTGCTTCCATAAAGATTATAGTCTTGGGGTAGACTTCTGGTAAGATGGAGGAACAGGCAGGCAAGCGACACAGACCCTCTTCAACAAAGAAAAGAGAAGATACAGAACATAATCCTGGAGCCCTGAGCTTTGAAAGGAACTACACAGAAGCGGATTAGGCACCAACTAGTGAAAAACCTGAACGAAAACAGTGAGTACAGTGACAGTCAGAGCTGCGGACTGTCAGCTATTCTGGCAGGACCAACAGCCTGACTAGTTTCAAGTGGTGTTGGGACCTGAGAACTGACCTAATGAAGAGCAGCCCTGGTCACCAAGGGCTGCAGGGATGACTACGCTGGTGCCTATGAATGACTAGGAAGGGGAATAGCAAGGTGGGGGACATCCTGAACTGTTGACTTTCAGCTGTATGGAGGGTGCAGCCATTTTGATTGTTTATTCACGGCAGCCATTTTGGATATTTAAAGTGACCGAGGGTACAGCCATTTTGAATGTTTATAAGCAGTGGCCATTTTGGATATTTAAATTGACTGAAGGCACAGCCATTTTGAATCTTTACAAGTGGCAACCATTTTGGATTTTAAAGTGATAGCGTACTCATTCAGATTCCAGGGATCTAAGAATAGGCTCTGTTTGCCAAGGTCAGCAGGGACATATGAGAGGCTGACAACAGGATAGAGGAGCACAGCACAATACCCTGCTTGCGTAGATAATATACTAACACAAAAAAAAAGAAAACAAAAATCGTGGGCAAGTCACTCCAACATATAATCACCATTTAATATAAACACAAAAACATCACAATGCCTTGGAGAGTATCCCGTCCACACAAAGAAGCAAGATAAAGCAGGAGAAACAAGGGATCAGGATATGGACCCAAAACATATCTCTGAGGAAGATACAGCAAGGGAACTCCTTGATAAGGAATTCAAAAGAATTATATTTAGGTATCTTCAACAAATTGAGAGACAGATCAAGGAAAACATAGAGAAAACCGTAGAACATTTTCGAAAAACAATCAAGAACAAAATGACAAAATAAATGAAAAATTAGAAATGATACAAAATCTACACACAAAAATCCAGAAGATTAATACTAAATTTTCAGAAATAGATAAGACATGGAATGGGCAAAGGAGCAGAATTGAATCAATGGAAGACAGAATTAGGGAGACTGAAGGCAAATACCTGAATATTTCTTGGAAAGGGATAAATCAGAAAAAAGATCAAAACAAAAGGAAGAAAGCCTAAGGTTCATGTGGGATACCATCAAAAGAAATAACCTACATGTAATCCAAATTCCAGAACAGGAAGACACAAATAAAACACAGAGAAAATTGTAGAAGATTTGTTGGAAGAGAATTTTCCTGGTATGACGAAAGATGAGAATATATTCATTCAAGAAGTCCAATGAACCCCAAACAGGATAGACCCCAAAAGAAAATCACCCAGACATATCATCATCAAACTTACCAAAAACAAAGACAAAGAAAGAATCATGAGAGCAGCATGGAAAAAACGAAAAGTTACCTACAATGGGCTACCAATAAGACTAAGCTCGGATTTCTCGAGAGAAACCATGCAGGCAGAAAGACAATGGGATGGTATATATAAAACTCTGAAAGAGAAAAATTTCCAACCAAGAACTATGTACCCAGCAAAGTTGTCCCTCAAATATGAAGGTGAAATTAAGACATTTCCAGGTAAGCAGAAATTAAGGGAATTTGTTAAAACCAGACCAACCTTACAAGAGATGCTAAAGGGGTCCTTTGGACAGAGAAGCAACAACAGCCAACAACAACTGACCATTAACACACATGATGATATAACCCAGAAACCAACCCAGCTATGGAAGTATCCAAAGTAAAGAAGCCTACAAGACTGTAAACATGAACCAGAGACATCAGTTGACATATGAGGACAACTACAAACCAAAAAGAGGGAAAAAACTGTGTCATTACAGAACTTCTAGATGGTAGGGAAGTCAAGACAACTACAAGATAGAACGGACTGTTCTAAACTTGGGAAGAAAACTATAAATCACAGGGTAACCTCAAAGAAAAATGATAAACCTTCACATCAAAAAAGAGGACCAGCATAAATATTCAGTAAATACTAAAACAATAGCAATGAAGGAAGTGATTAACACAATTCATAAACAAAATGAGCTCAGCATAGAAAATTATATGGAACAAAGAAATCGACACCACGAAAAAGCACATAACAAAAATGACAGCAACAAATTCGTATTTGCTGATAATTACATATCTGGCAAGGGATTTACCTCTAAGATTTATAGGGGAAGAGTGGATCACCAAACTATGGTACATACACACAATGGAATGTTATGCAGCACTAAAGAATAACGTAGAGTCTGCAAAACACCACATAATACAGATGAACTTGGAGGACATTATGCTGAGTGAAATAAGTCAATTACAGAAGGACAAATATAGTATTAGTTTGTTGTTGTGGAGGGTCAAGGAAAGGTTTACATATGGAAGGAAAATTTCTTTGTTGGTTGCTAGGGGTGGGAGGGGAGGGGAAGGAACACTGCAAAAAAAAAAAGCAATAACCCTTGTCACTTTAGTTTTGTGTATTTCACTGTACATAAATTATATTTCAATAAAATGTATTAAAAAATAAAAAAAAGATTATAGTCTTGGAAACGCTTTGGGGGCAGTTCTTCCCTGTCCTTTGGTGTCACTATGAGTCAGAATAGATTGATGGCAGTGGGTTTGGTGTTTTTTGCGTGGTTCAGCGGTAGAATTCTCTCCCGTGCAGGAGACCGGGCTTGGCTTCCCAGCCAATGCACTTCGGGTGTGGCCACCGCCCGTCTGTCCATAGAGGTTTGTGAGTTGCTATGATGCTAAACGTGTTTCAGTGGAGCTTCCAGACTCAGAGATGGACTAGAAAAAAAGGCCTCGTGAAAATCAGCCAATGACAGCCCTGTAGACCCCCACGGTCTGAACCACAACCAGTGGTGGGAAGGGCGCAGGGCGGGCAGAGGTTCGTTCTGCTATGCACGGGGTCACCAGGAGTCAGCGGCTGACTCCATGACTGCTAACAACAGCAGCACAGTGTTGGCATTAAGTGGATTCTGGCTACCATGGGTCCAAGAGCATTCTGGGTGATCCTGACACACGGCTAGACGTTCACACCACAGTCCGTGACAAATCTCGGCTCAGGGCCGGGTCCGCTGAAGACCCCTCTCGTCCCAGGACGTGTCCTGCTCGGAGAACAGGAGGCGGCTCTGCCGCTGGCTTCCTGCAGGCATCTGCCTGGGGCCGACTGCCAATCACCACTGCAGTAGGAAACTCGGATGCTGTTTGGCATTCCAGAAATGAATGGAGATCAGCGGAGATAAAGCCGTGCAGGCAGCCGGTGCATTCCACTGGGCCTGACTAACTGCGGAAACAGCCACGCACACACGGCGCGCAGTATCGCATTAAACAATGCCCACCCCACCCATCCACCCGGAGCTCTGCCCAGCGGCTGGAGCAGCGGGCTATTAACTCTTTGGGCTGCTCGGAGTCATCCTTCCAACAGAGCAGATTTATTTGTTTTTTAATTACGTCTCCCCACCCTTTTTTCCTGCTTTCCTCTTCACTCAAGTTAATGTGTCCACCCAGTAGTTAGTATTTTACTTTCTCTTCCTCCCCCCACCCCATAACCATCAGAGAATATTTTTCTGTGTCAAACCCTTTTCTTTTTACTAACTAAATAATAATAATAATAATAAAACAAACTCACTGCTGTCAAGTTGTGTCCAACTCATAGCAGCCCCTCCTGGGTTTCCAAGGTGGCAACTCTACGGAAGTAGATTGCCCAATCTTCCTTCAGAGAAGTGGCTGGTGGGTTTGAACCACCAGCTTTCTGGTTAGCAGCCGGATGCCTTAGGCACTACACCACCAGACTCCCTTTTACGACAGCGGTCTCATACAGTATTTGGTTTTAGGTGACTGACTAATCTCACTCAGTGTAATGTCCTCGAGGTCTATCTGTGGTATCAGACGTTGGCCAGGTTCATCATTGCTCTTTAATGCTGTGTAGCACTCCATTGTGTGTGTGTACCACTTATCTGCTGATGGGCATTTAGGCTGTTTCCATTTTTTTGTTATTGTGAATAATGCTGCAATGAACATGGGTGTCCATTTATGTGTTTGCATCCTGGCTCTCAGTTCTACAGGGTATATACCTAATAGTGGGATTGCTGGATCATATGGTATTTCTATGTCCAGCTTTCTAAGGAAACACCATACCATTTTCCACACTGGTTGCACCATTTTACAGTCCTACCCGGCATCCAACAGAGGGGGTTTCATTTTTTAACGGCTGGTACTTCCTGTGCCGTGCACTTCTGGCAGCACAGCTGAACCAGGATGGTTTCCACCTTGGTGTTATGAGTCCTGGAGCCCAGGAGGAGCACTGGTGGCGGGGGCACACAGGCCCACGTTTTCCTCTGTCTGTAGGTGGGTGTGGCTGAAAGGCAAGCGGAGTCTTCTCTGCCAGAAACGCTGGCGCTGTCTCTCGGGGTGGAGCATGCACCGGGCACACACTGAGGGCCTCAGCCAAGGCCACATCTTAACCATTCACACGCAGAGGCCAAGCTCCGGAGCTAACACCCGAATGACTGCACGCCGGATAAACAGGCCGGGCCTGCGGGCAGCTGAGGGCTCATGAAGCCATTCACATCCTTCCAAGCCAACCAACACAGCTGCCTGGGATGGTTTAAGTGACAACACTTACGGGAGGGATCGGGAGGTCTGGACCCAGCAAGCCATTGCTACACACACACACACACACACACACGCGCGCTCAGGGTGGCTGCCACATCTCTATCAGTAGGGCGGCCCTTAGGGGGCTTGCATCTGCAGGAGTTAGTCCCAGTGTCCTCCAGGTTCCGTGCCCCATTTCTTAAGCCTGGTTTCACAGGAGGCCTGGTGGGGCTCGAGAGAGGGGTACGGGGTCAGCTGCTTGGCTCGTGCCCGGCCCTGCCCAGTGGGCAACCCCAGCAGGAGAGGTCTGTGTGGCAACCAGTGGGCACCATTTCTGGGGACAGGTGTCAGATGGGCAGGCTCAGCCCCAGGAACAAAGAGAAGGTCCAGCCTTGCACAACCCTTGCCCTAGCTTGTGTCCACACATGTGCTCATGGCCTGGCGTGGGCAGGGCAGGGACCACAGCACAGCTTAGCAGGTAGGTCTAAGGGGGGTGGTCCTGCAGCATCAGTGACAACTGTGGCACGTGCCCACACAGCTGGAGGATGGCCCTGGGGACCTGTAGCTCTCCTTCCCCCCAGGCTCCTCCCTGGCATTTCCCACATGTTCCATGGAGGGCTGAGGGAAGGTGGGAAGGTGGTGATGGCATTCCTGCTCCCGCCTGGCTCACTTTGCTCCTGCCCAGCCCCTTGCCTGACCACTGACAATAAGCATCTTCTCACGTCTGAAATGTTTCACTTCCCTCCTTGTCATCTGCAACCCCTACCAGACAGAATGTCACCTGTAAGAGGGCAGGACCCTTGGTGTCTGTTCTCACAGTGGCTGGCACACGCTGGAGTTGCTAACATGTGATGGATGAAGGCTGTCAGCAGGTCATGATGCTGCACAGAGCCCCTGAGCCATGACAGAGTCTCTCCTGTCCAGGGTGTGCTGGCCAGGTCAGGCACAAGGGCTCCCCGATGAAGCAGCCCATGCTCTTTTGGGAGCCCAGAATGTGACGAAGTGGGTGCTGACTGAAGGTTCTTCAGCTGACGGTTGGGGTCTCTGCAGCCTCTTTACCACAAACTCACAAGGGGGTGCCACAGCCCCCGCCTCCGGAGTGGGGAAGCCAAGGGAGAGATGTGCTATAAGCCATACGCTGAGCGGGGCTCAGCCCTCACCCCGTGTGGCTGCAGAGGCCCTACCCCTTTGCCAGGTGGGGCCTCCAGGCTCGCACATGGGCTCCAGTAAGGATGCCCAAGGTCTAGCTTCTGATGTGTGGCAGGCGGGCCTGCTGAGGGACCGTGTGTGTGGATGAGACAGTCACAGGACCCTGTCTTACAGCAGCCACGTTCCCAGGATGTTGAGCCCGACCCTTCTGGGCAGTTGAGGCCCCAGTTTGATGTGCACTAGCCACATGTAAGTGTGTCTCAGAGCTGCGACATGAGCAGATTCCCAGTGGAATTTGCTAATCACGTCTTCTTGCTCAGTTATCAGCCTGTTGTTCAAGTTGTTGTGGCAGTTAAGGTTACGTGTCAACGTGGCTGGGCCTGGTTGAGTGGCTGGGCAGCTGGAGGTAGTTATTCCTCGTGATGAGACTGGTCATCAGCTCCATGGTGGAATCTACTGCGAGCAGCTGAGTAGCTGCCTTAGGGATATGGACTGTTCCCAGTGTATAAGGAGAAGCTTTGACAAAGGTCTTGAGCTTTTTGGCACATCTGGACCCTGATGTAGCCAAGTCTTCATTCAGCAGCCTGCCATGTTGTCTGCTGATCTTGAGACTGTTTCTGGACTTGAACTAGTGGCCTGCTGTGTTGCTTGATAATCTTGGGACTGTGCCATTTCACTTGTCAACCTTGGGTCTGGCAGCCTCAGCAGCCAGCAGCTGCCTGAGTCAGGAGAAGCCTCCGGCTCCAGTGGGCCAGGAGCAAGGGGCAGAGCTGAAGCCCAAGGGCGAGGGGCCTTCACCCAGCACCTAGAGCTGGCACTTTGAACTCGGACTTCTAGCCTCCTAAACTGTAAGAGAATAAATCCCTGTTTGTGAAAGTCATCCACTTGCGGTATTTTCTGTCAGAGCAGGACTGGAGAACTAGAACAGTTGTCTTGTGTCCACCCTCCACATGAAGGACCCACATTTGAGAAGACAGACCCAGATGCCCAGCCCTCCCCAGAGCATGAGCTCTAGTAGCTCCTGGAGGCTGGCCCACGCCTCCGTGACAGAGGACAGGTGGCAGAGCTGTGCACACACCGGGTTGGCTCCTGCTGGGTGGCTCAGGTGCCAGGGACAGGCCTTACCTCTGCCACGTCTCCAATGGCATAAATGTGGGGCACAGAGGTGGCTTCCCGGGAGTTAACAAGGATCTTCTGACTGTCAGGGTTGGTATTCACTCCAGCCTTCTCCAAATTCAGACTTCTGGTTGCTGGAACCCGACCTGAAGGACACAGAGAGGAAGGCTGCCAAGTGTTCTTTAGTCATTCGATCTAAATATCCATGTCTTCTTACCCAGATCCCATGACTTGATTTAAAACGTGAGAACTGGTGAAACACGAACCACTCACAGCCTCAAAGGGCACCTGGGGGTCTGAGATAAACTCTCATAAACAGTGGGACTGAAAAGGTTCATTGTACGGTGGCTACTGCCACGGCGGTTGTTGCGTGGAGGGTAGCGCGTTGAGGGGACTGCTGGTGTCAAGTGGGCAGGGCTCTCAGCGCCGGGTCCACGGCTCTGGGGGATTCCATCAGAAGCCGGCCCCTGGGGTCTGTCTCTCTGCCCTGCTCTGTCCCTGCAGCACAGCCTACACTCTCAGGATAGAAGAACAATGCCCCCATGGCTTGTCTTGCCTGTCCTGGGTCTCTGTGTGCAGAGGGCAAAGCTGGCCTCCTCCAATGGCCCTGTCTGGACTGTTGAAGCAGAACCGGCCATGTCCCAGTGACACCCCAGGGCTGACTCTCAAGCCCAGCTCTGGTCTGAGCCCAGGTATGGTCTGATGCTCTCCTCCTGCCAGGCACTCAGTCTCAGATGCCATCGCCACTAGCAGGCAATGAGACTTGCATCTGCATGGACGTGGACATCCCCTCACCTCAAAGGGCATGGGCCACAGATCCTGGGACCCTGGCAGGGTGCCCTAGCCCCCACAGAGCACTATGAGGTTGTTGTTGATTTTTTTTTTTCCCCAGCAAATAATTAAGACTCTTCCATTTCTCCAGGAAGTCTTCCTGGTAGCTGCGGCCCACCAGCAGTTCCAGGGTTGGGGATGTGGTGCAGAAAAGAAGCCACACTTCTGAGAAGCAGGGAAGCGCCAAGAACAGAGAGCTCAGGGCCTGCAGGTCGTCTCTCTCTCTCGGGCAGGAAGATGTGACACTGTGCACTGGGCTGGTAGGGCGGCCATCTGGCAGCTTGGACTCTCTTCCAGGCCTTGCCTGGGCAGCTGGGCACCCAGGGGTGGCAGGGAGCTCAGAGACGGCCATAAATGAGAGCCATCCCTGCAGTGCCCCCATGCCTGCCCCCACAGCAGATACGGTGAGGCCACTGGTGACTGGTCTGGTGCTCTATGAAATCCTAGAGGCAAGGTGCCAGGAAGCCCAGCTTTCTCGAGACTGCAACTAAGGGGAAGATGGTGAGCAGCAGTCAAACATCCAGGGCTTGCTGCCCGTGCCCCAGCTAGCGCACGCAGCTAGGCTCCCGGGCAAGTGCCAGGTGGGTCCTGGAGCAATTCCACGAGGATGAGGGGAGTTGGGTTGCGGTACGGCTACAGGCACTGTTGGGCCCCAGTGCGTGGAAGGGCATATCTCATGTCCAGCTGAGCCAGGTCAGCATCATGCCCTGCTGCATACATCAGCCTGCCTTTTGGCCCTGGTAAAGCAGCATGGTCACCCTAGCTCCCCTGGCAGCTCTCTGGTGGCACTGACCTGCTCTCAGCTTCACTGCTGATTTTGAGCTTGGCCGGGTTCTGTCCTTTTAGTCACTGGGCTGCCTTGATTTTGAACTTGGCCGGGTTCTGTCCTTCTAGTCACTGGGCTGCCTTGGTTGATCCTTGGAGCCACCCCAGGCTGCAACGCCAGCATTCAGAGGCTTCTTCCCTTGAGGAGACAGCAGCCTGGGCTGCATTTGTACCTTGATGCATGTGATGGGCCTCTTTTCTCTGTGAGTCTCAGTGTCTGTGTATGTGAAATGGGCCAATGGGCACTAGATGGGTCAGCCACGATGCTTGCACAGAGCACACCCAGCCCCCATCGCTGCCTCACTTCACCAGCCCAGCAGGCCCCTGGAACCCACATACCTATGGTAGGGCCTGGATCCTCTGTCCCCAGTCCCTCATCCTGGCCACACTGCCTCCTGAGCTCGCCCAGCCCTGCGCGGGCCTGTCTACCACCTGTGAGGACCGTTCCCAGAGCATGGGTCCTCTCTTCACCCACGTGGCCATCATCCAGGTGCTGTGCCAAGATTCTTCCGGCCCCTCGTCCATCCATCACAGCTCTGACCAGGTCGTCACTCTACCAGGAGACTGATGCCAGCCCCACAGAGTGTGAGACCCCTCACCCCCACACCCCTTACATAAGGCCTACATGACATTTTCTACATCAGGAGCCATTTTTACAAGTGTCAAATTCAACCAATACAAAGAAAACACCTTTGCCAAGAACACCATGAGCAAAATCAAAAGACAAGTGAGAAACCCCGAAAGGGTTATTTCATTGATATCACAGAGCAGGGCTGGCAACCTCTGTGTATAAGGGAACCCGGAGTCCCAGGACAAAACCAACAGCACAGAGAAAACAGGCCAGAGAGTTCACTGAGGAGGGAAAGCAGTCCATAACCATCCCACGGAACCGAACACACATAAAACTCACAGACCTGCCACTTCCTGCCTCTTAGGTGGGTGCAGCTCCCTCCTGCTGCTGCAGGCCCTGAGGGACCGAGACAACACAACCCGGGGGAGGGGCTGTGCTGCCTGCTTGGCCAGAGCTCAGCCACACAGCAGGAGCACCAGTGAACTCACCCATTGGGTGCTGTGCTGTAGGCTTGCCTGTGACGGCAAGGGGCCTCAAGCCACCCAGGGGTCCACCCACAGCAACACTGGATGAACCACGGGGCACCATGTGATGGGGTCCTGGGAAGCACTACAAGAGTGAGGTGAGTCTTCCCATGATGTCATGAGCGCCCCCTGCAGTGCACAGGACACCAGCACAGAAAGTATGGGCAGGGCACAGAGTATGATACCCTCTGTGGAAGAGCAGGGGAAATGCATGCATACATACACCTGCACACCACTCCATCCACACACCTGTACACATATGCACATGGGTATTCACACGGATGCAGAGATACACACATATACATATATACATACACATGTATACGCACATACATACACATACACGGGAGCTCTGGTGGTGCAGTGGTTAAAGCATTCAGCTGCTAACCAAAAGGGCAGAGGTTTGAACTCACTAGGGAGCTCTGGTAGCATAGTGGCTAAGGCACTTGACTGCTAACCAGAAGGCTGGCGGTTCAA